ATTAGCATGTTTGCTAGCACAATTAGCATTTTGTTAACAACAATTAGCATGTTACTAGGATGATGCTAGCATGATTAACATGTTAATAGCATGTTTCTAACATGGTTAGCATGTTGCTAGCATGATTAGCATGTTACTAGTATGTTGTTAGCATTATTAGCACGTTACTAACATGTTGCTAGCATGATTCTAGCATGATTAGCATGTAACTAGCATGGTGTTAACATTTTGTTACCATGATTAACAAGTTACTAGCATGTTTTTAACATGATTAGCATGTTACTAGCATTTTGTTAACATGATTAGCATGTTACTATCATGGTGTTAGAGCAATTTGTTAGCATGATTATCAGGTTACTAGGATGTTTCTAACATGATTAGCATGTTACTAGCATGTTGTTAACATTATTGGCATGTTACTAGCATGGTGTTAGCATTTTGTTACCATGATTAACAAGTTACTAGCATGTTTTTAACATGATTAGTAAGTTACTAGCATGTTGTTAACATTATTGGCATGTTACTAGCATAGTGTTAGCATTTTGTTAGCATGATTAGTAAGTTACTAGCATTTTGTTAACATGATTAGTAAGTTACTAGCATGTTGTTAACATGATTAGCAAGTTACTAGCATGTTGCTTACATTATTCTAGCATGATTAGCATGTTACTAGCATGATGTTATCATGTTTCTAGCATGTTTATCGAGTTGCTAACATGTTTCTAGCATGATTAGCAAGTTACTAGTATGTTCTAAGCATGTTTCTAGCATGTTTAACAAGTTGCTAGCATGTTGTTAGCATTATTCTAGCATGATTAGCAAGTTACTAGCATGTTGTTAGCATGATTCTAGCATGTTAGCATGATTCAGCCATTACACAAGGATACGTTTTCTACATGTATTTATGCTTTGATTTGAACGAAAACAGCGCATCCTTGCAGCGCGGCTGACACAGAAGAGCGTATGCTACTTGCGTTCAGCGGATATTCTCCAAAATGGCGCTACGGTGATGCGGAGAGACACAGAGGAGACAAATTGTTGAATAAAGTCGTTATTTTTGTTTTCTTCGCATACAAAAAGTATTCTCGTCGCTTCATAACGTTACGGTTGAACCACTGATGGCAGATGGACTATTCTGACGATGTCTTTCATACTTTTCTGGACCTTGACAGTGTAAGTTACTTGGCAGTCAATCGGACAGTCACAAGCCTCCCGGTTTTCATCCAAAATATCTTAAATTGTGTTCCGAAGATGAACGAAGCTTTTATGGGTTTGAAACGACATGGAGGTAAGTGATTAATGACAAAATTTTCATTTTGGGGTGGAGTATCCCTTTAATAAAATTCTTATGGAAAAACAAATCTGTAATTTTAAATTCTTATAATAACGGTGGTTTGAATTTCATTGATTTCGATTTCCTTAACAATACATTTAAAATTAATTGGCTGAAGCAATACCTATCTAAACCAGCTTCTGTTTGGAATGTTTTTCCTCAACTTGTTTTCTCATAACTTGGTGATATTAATTTTCTCTTATAAAACGGATAGTTACGGTTAGGGCTGCACGATAAATCGAAATGGAATCGAGATTGCGATTCGACAGAAGCTGCGATTGTAATGCGTATTTTTCAGTGAAGCACGGTTCTGTGATCAGCAGTAAATCTCCATCCGAAGGCACACCGTGTCTACACCGGACGCGAGCGGCGCGACAAAATACTATAGAACCACTGATCTATAATAGAGATGTATTATATATAGATCAGTCTATAGAACTCATTATAATCAGTGATGCTGTCTACAATGAATGCGGTGCGGCGCGACACGACAAATCTCCGACAGTAAACTGCTGCCATGCAGGTGTGGGTAGACGCGGCTCGCGTTGATGTTCGGTGCTTCTAGGAGTGGGTAGAACTGGCGGCGGGGGCGGCGCAGTGGGCGATCTCAGTTGTTGGAATTGGGTAGTGAGCTCGGACACCTGAGCTACCAAGGCTTGCACAGCTCAACCCGTAGCTAACATCTGTTCCTCTTGACAATCCATGCGTGCGTTGTTGTTAGACAAAAAGTCCCGTAGATCCGAGGCATTCGCTGAATCCATAGGTAGGTCTGTCACGGGTACAAAAGGAGGATTCAATCGTTCTCCTCCCGGTAAGACTGCAATGGGCAGCCGGAATCCACAACTGCCAGGCCCTGCTGGATTCCGGAGCTGAAGGTAACTTTATGGACTACAACTTAGCACAACACCTTCAGATCCCCATTGTTCCTCTCACCCATATTATCTCTGTCAACGCAGGAGGATTCAATTGCGAATGTGAAATATAACAGTTTATTAGGAAAAAGTCCCAACCAGACCAAAGGCAAGAGTCAAACAAGGCATGTGCAGGATATAGTCACTCTTGGTAGCGCAGGGACGCAAATGGGCACCCGTGGATATCCCGGGAACATACGATCCTTGGGGGCGAATTCTGGAACCGAAATCCAATGAGACGAAGGACAGGAACAGAGAACTGAACACAGCGGGAACACCAAACGATCTGACAACACAGGACGGATAGCACAGGTGTTATATAGCTGAGCTGATGAGCTACAGCTGGCGCAGATCAACAGTCAGCAGCAATCACCGACACACCCACTCACACTCACACACACATACACACAGAGCGAAAATGAGTCAGTGAACCCATGAACCGTGACAATTATATTTCTTGGCCATGCCTTCTCGTTGTTGCTTTCCCGGGACTTGTAATTAATATTCATGAGCCAATAATTACAACTGAATGATGATACGTAGAAATTTTAATAGGCAATAAATTGGAAACGTATAGTTATTATTTAGTTAGGATATTTATTATTTGGCCAATGGAGGCTATGTCTGGGTCACAAAGCATATAAGGGGAACTATTTTTATTTCTTTTTTTATTTTATTCTGTCTAATAGAACATTTCTGTTTATGCGTTTTGCATCTTACTGTGCGTTCATTTTGAGCACTATACTGTATATTTGACCACTTAAACATCACAGAAGAATTTAGTTTTTCTAGAAATTAAAAAATGTGAAAAAGGGCATTCTTGCCTTATGACTGGTTTAAAATGACCCCATACCCAGGACTAGAAAATGCATCCCAAGTCTCATCTAGTTTTTGCAGAATAGGTCAAACACAGTGGATTCAGAAAGTATTCAGTATTCTTTCATTTATTTCACATTTTGTTATGTTGCAGTCTTATGCTAAACCGCTTTCAATTATTAATTTTTCACCTTAATCTACACTCTATTTCCAACAATGACAATGCAAAAACCATAACTTTGCAAATGCATTCAAAAGAAAAACTGAAATATCACACTGACATACGTTTTCAGACCTTTTGCTGTGACATTTGAAATGTCTCTGGTTCATCTTTGAGACGTTTCTACACATTGACTGGAGTAAATCTGTGGCAAATTCAGTTGATTGGACATGATTTGGAAAAACTCACACCTGTCTATATATACAGTCTAACAGCCAAACATGCATATCAGAGCAAAAACCAAGCCATGAGGTCAAAAGAACTGCTTGAAAGCTCAGAAACGAGGTGAATTTCGTTTATTTTTGGATTGATGGAGGCCCATTTAACACTCCTATTCCAACTAAATTGTCAAAATATTCTAATTTTCATAGAATATTTTGTGTTTCGTTTTACACTGACACAGTTTTAAAAACATAATAAAAATGTAAGACATATTTATTAATTTACTTTATTTACCCAGGGGTCAACATTTTCATTTTTGTGAAGTAAAAACTAAAATAGAAAATGTTTTATAATGTATTAGATCAGATGATGCATCAACCTGCATGATTCCCATAAAGGGCCTTAAAATAAACGTTTTGATTTAGTGTATTCTATGTTTTAAACCTTAGAACCTCTCTCAGCTTCGAAACTCGTCTCAGTCATTTCTCACAGCAGGCTTCGTTACGAATGTTTCGAATCTTGCTTGTTCACATTGATAAAAGAACTCGTATTATAAATACACTCCATATCGAATAGTATTTGATGATTTGCTAATTGCATTTAATAGATTACACTTTAAGTGAAATATATGCATTGGGTTTGTAAAAGCTGCTTTTATGCATGTTTGGTCTGAGTTTTAGTTGCAATAACACTGTTCTGACCAGCAGGTGTCACTAGCGTATAGGGTTAGGGTTAGGTTCAAATGATTCAAAGCTTTTCCTTTGAAACACGCCATATGTGCCTTTTTTTTCCCCTTTTTTTTTTTTACGTACAATTGCACTATGGGAATTAAAGGGGCAGGCCTTAAGGTAGACAATGATGTGCTGTTTTGAAGTCACATGACATTTGAATGCCCATACAAACTCTTTTTTTCACATGGAAAACACCTGTTCCTGAAATTGCTCTATCAACCTCATTTCTAAACATATCTTCTCAAGGGGGATTTTTTCTTTTCTTACATAGTTTTACTGTAAATTGAGAAGATATCAGTGTTTGGTGAATAACAAGCTAGTATAAGATATTATAGTAGCATATATGAAGGAATGCGGTACATAAACTGCTGAATGACAACGAAATCAATCTTAATATATAATGAAAGATACAAATGTAAAGCTGAAGGATAGCTAAATAAACCTAACTTTTCTAAAATGACGTATGCTGCCTTCACGTGCTGTTCTCACAACTACATCCCTTTGTCTTGTCGCTAAAGTAGTGTATTTATAGGCTAGATATGAACGATCATTAGAAGCATATTGTATGTTTTATAAGCAGTGAAATAAGCATGCATTTGACCGAAATTCCAGAATTGTCAGCAAACTGCATGTGTAGCGCGGTGAATGTTTATGATATTCAACCAATGGGATTCTACATTTTATTCTTTCCGACATTAAAGCACTTGAATGCGACAAGCTCGTAATCACGACTTCTTAAGTGGGAAATAGGACATTTCTGATAGCACGTGAAGGCAGCATAAAGCTGCCCAGTGTCTGGATGCGGAAATCATATACAGTCAGTGGGGAGCGTCACGTGTGTGTCACGCACGCACGCGGATCATCTGATGACGTGGTGTGCCGTTCGCTCAGCTGCGCGAGAGGATGGCGGACCAGAACAGGCAAATCAAACTCGCTGCAGCCAAGAAAAAGGTACGTTTTTGTGCTTCCACATCTTCTTTTACTCTCTTTGCGACAAAACGCAACTGCTGGTCGTGAGCGAATCGCGTCCGAGCGCTTGTGTTTCATCTGTCATGTTGACGTTCCACGTCTACCGGCTTCTCCGCGGGCCCGCATCCGGCTGCCTGCGCTCTTGGACGGGCGCGGCTGTCAGGAAAGCCCGGGGACTGGGCTGCGGCAGGGCCTGAATACGAACTCATTAGAATTCGCCTCTCTATTAGCGTTTATAACGATTTAAACCTGTCAGAAATGCGCTTTATAAGTGTTTGTCAGCGAATGTCAGTTTAACTTGGCATGCTAATGTTGTTAGCCTCTGTGTTTTGGCGTCAGTTACAGAATAAAAACAACAATGTGATTTAGTTGAAAATAAACCTAAACTAGACATCAAAATAACACTTTTTTTGACTTTAGGCTCATTTAACCAACTGATTAGTGTTAGTTTGCTTGCTAACTGCTTGTTAGTAAGTGACAGCTCTAATTGAAACAGCTGGTTGATTGTCTAGTTTGTTAACAGTGCTTACCTAATAGGTATAATTTGCCCTCATTGTAATCTTTAGGTTGCTGTTTGATCAAATCTGTGATTATTAGTGTTTTTGTTCAATGATGCAAGTGTGTGCTGTCTAGGAAGGCAGCCACTTGATGCCCAAAAGTGCTGTCTAGTTAGGGAGCTCATGTCTACACTAGGTTCTGAAGCACAGCTGCTGTCCTTTATGCTGTCTGTGTTCTGAAATCAACGCTGGAATCTAAGTAATGGCAAAGCGAGGCTCTGTCATATGAGATCTGATCCCATGACAGCTGAATCACACCCAAACCCACTGCTGCGAATCTGACCTACTAGAGACGCCGTTCTCAATCTCCATCTCGCAGGAATGGACGGGAGGCTCTTCACGAACAGAATGTGCCGTTTGTTGTCGTATCTGAGCGTATCTGTCGTGTCACTGGCGCAGTGGAACTTGATTTAGTTTGTAGACACTTTTAACAATGCATTCCAACCAGTGTGTTTATGCCAGAATTAGGACAGATTATTGACTTGAGATTAGGGGTCAACCGATATGTCTTTTTCAGATATATTATATTATGTTAAAGAAATAGTTCACCCAAAAATGAACATTTGCTGAAAATGCATTTACCCTCAGGCCATCCGAGATCAGGATGAGTTTGTTTCTTCATCAGGTTTGTAGAAATGTAGCATTGCATCAGTGTCTCAGCAATGGATGCTCTGCAGTGAATGGGTGCCGTCAGAATGAGAGTCCAAACAGCTGATAAAAACATCACAATAATCCACAAGTAATCCACAGCACTCCAGTCCATCAGTTAACATCTGGAGAAGACAAAAGCTGAAACTAATCCAGCATTAAGTTGTTTTTAACTAAAATACGAGTCCATAATAACGCTTCCTTCAGTGTAAAAGTGCATCTGCTGTTGTCTCATCAAAATCCAGCCACATATTTGTTTAGAGCTGTTTTGGCTTGTAAACATTTACAATACATTTACATTTAATCATTTAGCAAACGGTTTTATCCAAAGCGACTTAGAAATGAGGACAATAGAAGCAGTCAAACCAACAAAAGAGGTCTCTGTGCAGATTTCTCTCCTGATTCAGCCCTGATGACTTTTTCATTGGAGGAAGCATTATTATGGACTCGTATTTAGCCGGAAACAATGGTTTGAAGTTACATACATAAAGTTTAAATAGGTATACAAAACTGGAAATGAGTAAACATGTATAATATATAACCAAATAAATAAGAAACGTAGAACGTTTATTAGCAAAACGAATAAGAAAGCTTGGAGGCACTTAAAATGCCTTAATGCTGGTTTATTACAAAAACGCAGCTTTTCACTTCACGTGATGTTAATTGATGGACTGGAGTGCTCTGGTTTACTTTTCGTCATCATTTTTGCTCGATGACTCAAATCAGCAGTGTTTTGGTGATTTTTAGTGTATGTAGAGTGTGTGCGCGTTGGATTTCCAATTTTTACAAAGGTTTACATATTTTTGTTGTCACCATGCTATAGGGCAGGCTATGCCTAATATAAAATAACAAATAACTTACATAAAGTTTAAATAGGTATACAAAACTGGAAATAGGCTAAGTAAACGTATAATATATATAACCAAATAAATAAGAAACGTAGAACGTTTATTAGCAAAACGAATAAGAAAGCTTGGAGGCACTTAAAATGCCTTAATGCTGGTTTATTACAAAAACGCAGCTTTTCACTTCACGTGATGTTAATTGATGGACTGGAGTGCTCTGGTTTACTTTTCGTCATCATTTTTGCTCGATGACTCAAATCAGCAGTGTTTTGGTGATTTTTAGTGTATGTAGAGTGTGTGCGCGTTGGATTTCCAATTTTTACAAAGGTTTACATATTTTTGTTGTAAAAAAAAATAAATAAGTAGTCTAGTATTCCTGCCATATACACCGCAAAAAGGATTTTTCAAAGTTGTAAATAAATCAAAGATGATTAGAGTATGTTTTACAGCAAAATACTAGGGATGCACCGAAATAAAAATTCTGGGCCGAAACCGAACACAGTTTTTCGAGTTTTTTCCCCCATGTATTTTTGCCAATTTGTTTTCACCATTGCATAAATTAAATAGCCCAAATGTGCTTTTTACTGTTTTGTCTTGCTTTTCAAAGAGGAAAATCAATTACAAAACAACAATTTAAAAATTAACACTGAACATTTTTAACATTCTAGCAGACACTATACCAACAAAGCACAATTTAGCCTAAAATTAATAAGTTAGTAAAATAATATTTTTTGGCCATCAGACCCCCTTCTTGAATCAGGCATGTATTTTTACTGTACATTTAAAAGCAGCCTTGCTGAGAAGAGACTTCTTTTAAAACATTAGAAAATATTACAGATCCTAATTTGAACACTATGTGTGAATGTTATAATAAATGTATTAAATGTGTGTGTGTGTGTGTGTGATTATTATCATTATTATTGTCTTACCTTTTATTTTATTTTACAGAACAACAGTAAAATTACAATACTAACATTTATGAATGTTGATAGACTGCACGTGAGTGTTTTGCGTAATACTTGTTTATAGATCTGCTGTTTGAATTATTACTTTCTGCTAGGAAGCAATATTTTGTTTTCTGCCTATTTCTACGTTATATTTTTGTTAGCGTTTGTATTTTTGATTGCACTTTCTGGTAATTATAATAATTGTTCTCGGCAAAGGAGCGCGTGTAATTTAATTGCTCCCTTCCTGCGTTTAAGTGTGAACTGTAGTTTCGATTTGAGGAATTGGCCTGCTATAGACTATTGGCTGTGCTAAAAGTAAATGTAAATGTAAATGTATTAGCGCAGATTTTCCTCGCGCTTTGGACTTTGAACCCTGGTTAACAATCAGATCTGCTGCGAGCTCGTGCAGCACTGTCAGAATACAGGCAATGATGCGTGCGTGTATTAGAAAACATGACGTTCTGCAGTTTATTTACTAATTGTTTAAGGCCATTTCATGATTTCAATCATCATACAGTAACCAGCAACAATCACCCCTTCCTCTTCTCATCGAAGACACAAACAGTCTCTCGCTGTCGGTGCTTGTAAAGATTTTAGCGTCTTTCTCGGACAGTATAAATGCTTCCACACTGCTGACATCTTTGTTGCATTATAAAGAGTGTGCGCCTCTCACTCTACACTGGTTGCTATTTGATAGTCACGTCATTGTTCGGTACAATTTATTCGGTCTTTTCGCTTATTCTTATATATTATATTATAATTTCGGTTGCCGAACATTCGGTGCATCCCTAGTAACTATCTATAAACCATGTCATCTTTGTTACTTTTTTCAAGTAACTAGTAAAGTAATGCATTACTTTTTAATTTACAAGAGAATATCTGAGTTACTTTTTTAAAAAAGTAATGCAAGTTACTTTTTTTTTTTCCAATTGATTGATTGACAGCTCTCCTGTCCCCATATTGAGAGAAATCGGAAGATGTTACTGTAGTTCTATATTTACTAATTGTTTAAGGCCATTTCATGATTTCAATCATCATACCGTAACCAGCAACAATCACCCCTTCCTCCTTCCACACTGCTGACATGTGTGCTGCATAATAAAGAGCAGTGTTGGGGTAACGCATTACAAGTAACGCGAGTTACAAGCCCTGTCCAGATTTAAAAAGTAACGCAAAAGTAACGTAATGCATTACTTTCCATAAAAAGTAACTAAGTAACATAATTAGTTACTTCTTTATGGAGTAACGCAATATTGTAATGCATTACTTTTAAAAGTAACTTTCCCCAACACTGATAAAGAGTGCGCGCCTCTCACTCTGCGCTGGCTGCTATATACAATTTATTCGGTCTTTTCGCTTATTCGGCCGAACACCGAAAGAGCTTTTTTTGCTATTTTCGGCCGAATAATTACGTTTGCCGAACATTTGTTGCATCCCTATAAAATACTATTTCAAACTTTCAAATTTTACATTTAATTCAATGTGTTGCTTGCCCTTTCTTTAATTATTTGGGAAATGTACTAGCACTTTCTAAGTGTAAATGATTTCAAACTTAATCCTACACCAGTATTTTTTTCCAGTGTATCCTGTAGCTGTAATATGATATATTTAATACCAAACATAAAATCAAAAACATTTTTTTTCTCTTTCTTCCTGCAGCTGAAGGAGTTTCAACAGAAGACAACACCATCCACAGCAAGTGCTGGACCAAAGAAGAAGAGGAAGGTTAAAGGAGGCGATCAGCTGGACGCAGCTGCTGACAGAAACTCGCCGGACAATGTGAGTCAGGTACGTAATAAATCCACGCCGCCTGAAATCAGAGCTTCGCTGATGTGATGCATGTTCACGGTCAGCTTTGTTGAGATCTGGTGTCTTGCTGTCTTTCGACTGATCTGTGTATGACACTTGCCCACTGCAGGAATTAATCCTCATCTCAGGAACTGTTTGAGGACCTGCTTTAGCTTCTAGTCCTGCTTTGTTTTTATACAGCTATTGGTTTCTTATTTATTGTAATTAGTCATGTTTGACAGTGAATTACAGAGAGTCTGATAACATTAACATTAAATAAATATTGGATGAAATATTTAAACTAAACTGAAATTTCTAAATGTTGCCTTGGCAACTAACTAAAATATGTTTACGTTGAAGCACTAAACTGACTAACTAACTGGAAATAAATAAAACGAGAACAATTAAAAAGCATTTTTGTTCATTTTTTTTTGTTAATAATGAAGCTGAAAATAAAATGTACATTTTAGATGGAAAAACCTAAACTTATTTATCGTTTTTTAGTTTAAGTTCAAACACTAAAATTATTAACTAACTGTAAATAACTAGTTAAAGCTGGAAAAAAAGTGAATTAATAATTGCACAGTGTACAGATTCTATATACATTGTAAAGCTTTGTATAGTTTTCATAAGAATCTCTGCTCTATTCTTGGTTTCTTATTTATTGTAATTAGTCATGTTTGACAGTGAATTACAGAGAGTCTGATAACATTAACATTAAATAAATATTGGATGAAATATTTAAACTAAACTGAAATTTCTAAATGTTGCCTTGGCAACTAACTAAAATATGTTTACGTTGAAGCACTAAACTGACTAACTAACTGGAAATAAATAAAACGAGAACAATTAAAAAGCATTTTTGTTCATTTTTTTTTGTTAATAATGAAGCTGAAAATAAAATGTACATTTTAGATGGAAAAACCTAAACTTATTTATCGTTTTTTAGTTTAAGTTCAAACACTAAAATTATTAACTAACTGTAAATAACTAGTTAAAGCTGGAAAAAAAGTGAATTAATAATTGCACACTGTACAGATTCTATATACATTGTAAAGCTTTGTATAGTTTTCATAAGAATCTCTGCTCTATTCTTTTTTCCATTTTCAATTTATTCACATTTCACATCATATTTCTTAGAAAAGAATATAATATAGTAAATATAATAAGCTATAATCTATTTTTAATGTGTATGTGCTTAATTTGATGTTAATTAGAGAGACGACCAACTAAATAAAAAAAAATGTCACTTCATTACATGTAACATGTTTGTGATAAATAGTGAATCTTGAACCTAGAAAATTAAATTGTTAAATATTAATTTTTTTAAATAATAAAAACTCATTAAAATGACAAAAGCACAAAACAAAATGACTAAAAACTACTACATTTAAAATGAAAACTGAAAAAAGGCTTATTCAAAATACTAATAAATGATAATTATAACTGTGATAGTATATAACTAACCCTTCATCTTGTGTTTCACTTTCTTACTACTGCTTCCTCCTCCTCTCTCACTCCTTTTCCTTTATGGTCTGCCTCTCCTTCCGCTGTAGATTGAGAATATTCTCAAAGTTATGGTGTCTGATCTTAGTCTGACTAATGGAGAGTCTCAGCCTCCGTTTATCAGCAACAGTCAGGTGAGCTGCTCGCTGTCCTTCCTCTCTTCTCCTCTCTTTGCTCTTTGATTTGTTCATCTGTGTTTCCTCGCATGCTGCCAGATCATCGCAGGAAGTCGATGTTTGCATCAAGTCAGCATGAAATCAGACTCTTAGTTCATGTTTCCAGTCTTATCGTGAATGATTCCTCAGTGCTCGTCATTCTAAAGTACAGTAAATGTTTAATATGTTATAAATATCTGACTCGCACTGAAAATAATTTGTTGAAACAATTTGCACTCAGTAAACTTAATGATTAATTACTGAGAAACGGCAAATAACGTTGCATTAAATGTGAAATTAAGTAGAAAGGCTTAAATTGTGTTTTCTTGTAAAAACATACTCTAATGATTTTATTTGCTTTATTTGGCATCTTCAAACAAATCATTTTTACATGCTAGTTCATGTTGACTTTAGTGCATCTTTGACATGCAAAAAATTAAGTTGCAGGGTCTGTCGTAATCGGCAGCGTTAGTGTCTGTTTGGATTGAATATTGAATATGCCTGGAAATGTTTCATCACCTGTACTTGATAAATATGAGAATGTATGTGACCCTGGAGCACGAAACCAGTCTTAAGTCGCTGGGGTATATTTGTAGCAATAGCCAACAATACATTGTATGGGTCAAAATTATCGATTTTTCTTTTATGCCAAAAATCATTACGATATTAAGTAAAGATCATGTTCCATGAAGATATTTAGTAAATTTCCTACTGTAAATATATCAAAAGTTAATTTCTGATTAGTAATATGCATTGCCAAGAACTTCATTTGAACAACTTTAAAGATGATTTTCTCAATATTTTGATTTTTTTTTGCACCCTCAGATTCCAGATTTTCAAATATTGTCCTATCCTAACAAACCATACATCAATGGAAAGATTATTTATTCAGCTTTCAGATGATGCATAAATATCAATTTCGAAAAATGTACCCTTATGACTGGGTTTGTGGTCACATATGAGTGTAATGAAGAATGTGGTGTGTATATGTGTGTTTTAACCCACTGACAGCTGAGTTTAATGCGTCTCTGTCGCTGTATTGCATCAGGATGATGTGGATGCGGTGAGCCGGGTCTCGCAGGAGCTGGAGGAGACCAGCGCTGAACCCGTCTCTAACCCCGCTTCTGCTATTAACTCTGATAACGCTGGCATGCAGGTCTGTCTGTCTCCGCGTCACTCACTTTAGCTGGGTTTCAGAAGTCTCGGCTAGGCTTTGAAACACAGCCGTTGTGTGTTCGTCTCTGTTAACGGTTCAGCTGTTGTTTGCTCATGTTTTTAATCTGATCCACGTGTTTCTTTTAATTTAGTGCGTTGTTTGTAATTTTTTATGTTTTCACGTGTTGTCACATAAGTCTGGCCCTCAAGTTTGTTTTTCATTCGTATGTTTTTCCAGCAGAAGTACGCAGCAGATGCAAACGGCGATGAACATCCTCTGGAAGATAACAGGTGAATTTACTCTTTATTTGAAAATAACCAATCAGATGTTTTATTGAGCGCTCAGTTCTTCTGCTGCCTTGTTCTGGAAATTATTTTCAATTCATTTTTTTCCCCAGATGCATTTGATAAAAATTCTTCCATAAAGAGTTTTAAGCTTTGATTTAAACCAACCAGCACTGAGATGAATCACGACACACTGAAACAACTTTAATTCAAACAGTGTTATTTTAGTGTCACTGAGATACTATTATAGTTTTATTCATATTTTAAACTAGTTTTTATATTTATATTTTACAGTTTCTTTTTAATTTTAACGTTTTTTGTATTATTTCCCCCCCCCCAAAAAATCTTATTTTATTTTTAAAATGAAGTTAAAATTATTTTGATTTATTTATTTTAATTTGAGTTATTTTAGTACTTCAAGTTAAACTAAATTAAAATGAGAAAAGTAGCCTTGCCAACTAGTTGAAATTAAAAAGCTTAAGTTTATTATTTTTTTTGTTTTATTTCAGTTAATGTTTATTTTATTTCAAGCAGTTCAACTATTTATTTTTTAGTTTTTAGTGTTAGTTATTTTTTTATTTAGTGATTTAGTATTTTATATTCAAAAGCATATAAAATACTGTATTTTTTTGCAATGAACTACTCATTTGATAATGTAAACGACACTAATGTCGCAAAAATGACCTTATAGTATAAAAATATTGAGTATGTTATTGACTATAAGCAATACAATTTAATATACTTCAAGTTTGTTTTATAAAAATAGACCCAAACCAATGACAAAAACATGCTATCGCTTGCTGTTTGGTTCTCTGTTAACTCTAACTGTACAGAAATACTCTGTTTGTTATGCTTGTTTAGTTCATAACTGTAACCAAATAGTCTGTTTTGATAGACTGACCTCACGTGTTTGTAGGCCGCTGTCGTCCACCGAGAGCCTGAGACAGATTTCCCAGCAGCTCAACGGACTGCTGTCTGAGGTGAGTCACGGCTTCTGCTTGCTTCAGTCTTTGGGTTTGGTTAGATTGTGATGCTATGATGTTATTGGTTAATGTTATTTTTTCCACCCTGCTTGATTACATCAGTAGAAAAGTCATTTCGGAACTGGATAGAGTTAATAAAATTTTAATGAAATGTTATGAAAGCAGGCATTGTTTTTCTTTAGGTTGACATGCACCCATGAAACAAATGAATCCAAATGCATTTTTTTAAGAAATTAAATTAAAGACTTTTAAGAACCTCCCGAATAAACCAAATTCTTTTGAACTTTTGCATGGCTTGAGTGAACTTCAAAAATAGAAGTATAAACACATTTGCATGACTCGCAATAGAAGCCGTTTTATTCATATCTAGCACTCGTAAATAACCCAGATGTCAGCATTTTAACCATTCCAGAATGAATTGGTCAAAGCTTTGAGTTCTTGTTCACTCGTTTTGATTCAAGTGAATTGTTTTTCTTTCCTTCTTGGCTGTAATGCAGTCAACAACATACATCAATGGAGACAGCGGTCCGCCGACGGTCAACGAGAAGGAGTTGGAGGTATTTTGATACGTTTTACTGTGCTTTTATTTATTAAACATATATGGCAACACGTGGAAAACTGTACAGTAAGGTCATTTAGTTTGGTCTACCACTCTAAACAGTCACTAATCTCGCTCAAGCAGGATAATCTTATTGAAGCACGAGTTCTTATGATGAAAATAGCTTGTAGTCTGTAGGGGTTTACAGCCTTGGCTATTTAAGAGCGTCAGGCACTTGATAACATTTTCACAATCATATCCCAGATTGATTCCCTCAGGACTTGCAGACCAAATTCCTGCTAAATATAAAGTATTAAAAAAGATCTAAAACCGTTTCCCTGTTATCTGTGCTACTGTGATTTAAAGGGATAGTTCACCCCAAAATGAAAATTTGATGCTTATCTGCTTACCCCCAGGGCATCCAAGATGTAGGTGACTTTGTTTCTTCAGTAGAACACATTTGATGATTTTTAAGTCCAGCCGTTGCAGTCTATCAGTCTTATAATGCATGGCAATGGTAACAAAATCTATGAGAGTAAAAAAAACATGCAGACAAATCCAAATTAAACCCTGTGGCTCGTGACGACACATTGATGTCCTAAGACACGAAACGATCAGTTTGTGCCAGAAACCGAACAGTATTTATATCATATTTTACCTCTAATACACCACTATGTCCAACTGTCTTTGGGCGCGCGCACGGCATCCGGTGCGTGAGGTGTGTACGCGCTCTGGTGTAGTTTACGCAAGCGCCGGAAGTGATCTCTCACACGTATACGTCACTCATTGTTTACACAGTGCACAGTCATTGTAGGTACGACGGCTAACCAAAATGGTACTTACTTGCGCTTATCCGGATTGTTCAAACCAACTTAAAACTAAAAGATTACGTTCTCTCGCGCGAACTCATTCAGGAGTGGTGACTTTCCACGTATTCCCAACTTCTGAGCCTGCTCGCCTGAAGTTATGGTTGATTGCTCTTCGGCTGGATATCAACACACCCATTAACGTAAACTACGCCAGAGCG